TGTTGGAAAAGAAAATTACATAGGAAACACATGCAATGAACAGACTGAAATATATAGAACTACACACTAAGAATATGTGAAATTTTCCCTTTCCCTTACAGCACCTAATGTAGAAAAGAAAGGGGCAGTTCTCCCATCAAATGGATGCTCCAATAACTTTGTGGAAAAGGATCTGGGCCATCAGCACAGAAAATACATTAATCTGCACATATTCCCAGGGATGAAGTTGCCCATGGGGACCCCTTGAGCACAAACACAGGTTGATAACAAGGAGTGGGAGCCAGGACTGCATATGTAGCCATTCATATCCAAAAACAGTTGCACAAGAAAATTTAGGGGAACATCCTCAAGATAACGCTGCCTGCATTACATGTCCTCCAGCTGGCCAGCCTTCCCTGGACACATCAGAAGCCACACAGCAGCCATAACCACCTGACATGTATCTGCCTTGGTTTAGCTGCTCTCATCATCAGGGGAAAAAATCTATCTGGGGAAAGAGTTTCTGCAACATGAGTAGATTAAAACTACTGTTGTGAGGAGGGAAGAAGAAACCAGTTTCCTGGCATCTTCTATTCTGATTAATTAGAGCACCATCTCAACAAGGGATAACAGCTCCACTTTAAGGAGGCAATTACCAAACTCCAACACCTTCCAGGATACTTTAAAAATCAATTCTCATCCAAGATAGCTGTATAAAAATAATTGTGCAACTGTGTTGCATTGGCATGAAAAATACTGTGTAACCTGAAAAGGTAAAAAAACCCATCTATTTGTGAAATTCTGAAGCTGAAGGGATGGAGATGTAGTTCTGGTACTCTTGAGCAATCCCTCAAGAAGCAAAAAGTATCTCCAGTTTATACAGACACTTCAGAAATGCAGAAAGCTTTCTTTTGGAATGTATCAGATGGCACATATTTTTAGAAGCTTTTTAAGGAAGATGATGTCACTGGATTTGTAAAAAATGCTCTTCTTTCCAACTGACCAATTTGCAGAACAGCTCCAAAACTTTGAATAAACACAAACATCCCAAATCAAAAACTGCCAGTCAGCTCAGTTGGCTTCCAGCAAGTCCCATTAGCAATTTACCAAAATTAGGGAAAAGGCAATCATGAAAAAGGCTAAACACTCTCAGCATAATTTCTAGACTTTTTTTTTGGTGTGTGTGTGGCTATGTGACAACAGCCAGAACGTAACTTGTTTTATTCTATGCATAATGAGATCACATTCAAAGTGTGCTTGCATGATTGCGTGGAGGCCACAAAACCATCGGACCACAGTGGTGGGTGAGAGGCTGGACATGACACAGCCACGTGTTCTCACAGCCCAGAAAGCCAAGTGTGTCTTGGGCTGCACCCAAAGCACCAGAGGAGGGGGGATTCTGCCCCAGGGCTCTGCTCTGCCCTGGGGAGACCCCACCTCCAGTGCAGCATCCATCCCTGGGGTCCCAGCACAGGAAGGACATGGAGCTGTTGGAGTGAGTCCAGAGAAGGCCACCTAGCTGATCAGAGGGATGGAGTGCCTCTGCTATGAGGAAAGTCCCAGAGAACTGGTGCTGTTCAGCCTGCAAAAGAGAAGACTTCAGGGTGATTGCCCTGGTTCTGGACAGGACAGGGTTAATTTTTTGCAGAAACTGTGAGGGCGTGTGGCCAGGACTCAGAGCTTTTTCTATCCCACCTTCTGGTCATTAGCAAGGGTGCCAGGGGAAGGGACTCTTTTTTGGGGAGAAGGGGGTCCTTCCAGTCTGGTATTGTCTATTGTCAAGGGGTTTCTGTGTAAATAATTTATTTTCTTGTACCCTATGTCATTCGTATTATTCCTTTTCCTGGTTTGTTTGGTTTGGTTTTTTTTTTTGTTTTGTTTGTTTTTGTTTTTTTTTTTAATCTCGTTGCTGTTTCCAGTAAAATGATCTTATCTCAGTTTAAGATCTTAACCTTTTGTGCCTCCAAGTCTCAAGTCCACCCCACTGCAGGTGGGAGGGAAAAAGCTTCAGAGCCGAAGGGAGGAGCATGTGGTTTTGGGGAATTTTGGTGGGTGCACTAAACTGGGGATTAGCATTCCTAAACCAGTGATCCAACTGAGGCCTTCCCCTACCTGAAGGGAACTTCAAGGGAAGATAGGGAAAAACTATTTACAAGAGCATGTAGTAAGAGGGCAAGGGGGAATGAATTCAAATTGAAAGAGAGGAGGTTTAGATTAGATATTAGGAAGAAGTTATTTGCCATGAGGGTGGTGAGGCACTGGAACAGGTTGCCCAGGGAAGCCATGGGTGCCCCATCCCTGGAGGTATTCAAGGACTGACTGGATGGAGCTCTGAGCAACCTGGTCTAGTAAAAGGTGTTCCTGCCCACAGCAAGGGAGTTGGAACCAGATGATCTTCAAGGTCCCCTTCCAACCCAAACCATTCCATGATTCTGTGAAAGTTTGTTCAACAGACTGATCTCACATGGGCTGTTGAAGCCACTCTGGCTGGGTCTAACAGGGACCGTGGCTCCTGGAGGGTGTCTGTCTGCCTATTGCTATGGGGAGTAGGGACACACAAAGGGAAGATCAGTCCTACATCATCCTGCAGCCAAGAAAGAGCAGATTTCATGGGAAGGCAACCAGACAGCCCACCCCTGGGGCAGCAACTGGGAATCACTGGCAAACATGCATTCCCAAACTGAAAAAATAATTAACCACCTAGGTTCTTTTAATTAAGATCTTGACTTATCCACCACTCCAGGATATGCAGATGTTTGGCTGCTGGGATGTATCAACACACCTGAGCACTGGAGGCAATTTGTGTCTTGGTTTTTTCATATCTCAGCAGGCAGCAGAAAGGGGGTCCCATCCTGTAATACCTGCACATCCCATCTTATCACATGGGCCATGTGTATGAATGGGAGATTTTGTTATTAATGGCACCTCTGCTGCTGCTTTGGTGAAGATTTTCATATGCAAATTTCAGCATATCCAAAGTGTTTGGCTGTTCTGGCATCCTCTCATTAGCTAAATGCCAAAGCAGGGCAGCATTTTACACTTAAGTAAGGAGATACAGTTTTTGCCTCAAGGATATGATGTTCCAAAGACAGAGAGAACCTGATGGGAAATGACAAGGAGCAGTGGAGAAGGCACGATGGGGAAAAGAAAACAAAAGAGACAAACAGAGAAAGGAAAGGGCATGGTACTGTCATGGGAGAACAAGCCTTCATTTTTCATTTCAGTATTCAAGAAATTTTCTCTGGGTTATCTATCTTTAGGATCTTTTAAGTTATTTTTCTTGATCATTCTCTTGTTGCTCTCCATCTCCTCAGGACTGTGTTTTCCATACTCTGCATGATAATCAGGGCATCTCACACAGAAGATGATGCTACTGTGTAAATGCAACTGCTAGAGCCCAGTTCCTAAAGAGTAGGAATTGCTCAGCCTTGGAAAAGATGAGATTAATGGCAGAAACTGCACATGACTGTAAACAAATTTATCCCTTCAGTTTATCCTTCCTTTTCTTTGGTTTCTGTTACTTAGGCCTGTGAGATGCAGCATCTCTGACTAGAAGATATCTGTTCAATCAATGCCATAAGCTTGAACTAATAACCCTACCACCATCACTGCACCTGGAATGTCTCTGACACATTTCTGTTCATGACGAGCAAAACCACTTATTTTATAGCACACATTAAAAAAATCCCTGCAAATTCATTTTGTTTGTCTTTCTCAAAAATGAGACCTAGGCGATAATAGTAACAGATTAAACAATAAAGTGGGTGTTTCCCCTTTCTGCCCCACACTGCCTCCAGTATTGGCAGCTCTGGAAAATTTCCATTCGTTCTGCAGACAACTCAAGTCATCTAGTACTGATGATTATAAAGGTATGATAAAATTGTTACTGAAATCCTTCTTCACCCCTTGACACTGGCAGCTCTGTTCAGATTGGTTTTGGATTTAATTGTTCTTTACTAATTCAGGGGTCCTTGTGCTGCCAGGTCAAGATTCTTCTCTGACTGATGAAAGAAAAAATGCCCTAAAATTGACTAGTTTATTAAAAGACAACTATAATACAACTAAAAGCTAAAGCATCCATGACAAAATAACAAACCCTTGAAAACTAATAATAGAAAGTGACACATTTCTGTTCCTGAGAAACAAACCCACTTATTTTATAGCACACTTTAAAAAAAAATCCTGCAAATTCATTTTGTTTGTCTCGCTCAGAAATGAGACCTAGGAGACAACAGTAACAGATTAAAATGTTAAGAAAAGCTCACCGTATTAATTTTAAGTACATACTTATGTTTGGTAAGTTATTCCGAGAGCTTTCCATATTGCAGTGTCTCAGTGAAATTGTTTTCTGTAATTTACACTGAGATTTTCTGCTACAGACAGCTTACAGTGCGTCAAAGCAACAGTCATGACAATGTCATACAGAAACTTCAACACTGTGCATCAAATCAAACTCACAGCATATATTCAACAGGGTGGCCATGGTCATCAGCTCACAGCCAGGTATTCATGCAGTAACAACAGAGCTTTGATTTGGAGTCAATACACATAATTAGCACATTGTATTAACACTGTAGTATGGATACTATTCTTGTATATTGCTTCTTAATATGATGGACATTAACTGGAGTTTTCTTAATTCCCAGCAAAGAGGCTCCATCTCATATGGAGTTACGCTGCCAGACAGAACGGCGGATGAAAGGCCAGTGCCAGCAGCCCCCAGCGAGGTGCTCGGGCAACCTGCTGCCTTGTCCCATCACCTTGTTGGCACCACCGGGTTAACGGGGAATGCTGACCCCCCTAACCCCTAAATCACATCGAGAGGTTCGGGACGGCGCGTCCTGGGCGGGACGCGATGAGATGGGATGAGACAGGTGAGATGGGATGGCAGCAGCCCGGTGGGGCCGGACGCAGAGGGTGCAGGACTGTTCTCTGCCCTGAAAAGGTGGCGGGGAGGAAAGAGGGAAGGATGCTCGCCCCGTCCCGGGGAGCGGGCGAGGCGCGACCCCCACTACCCTTACCTGCGCCGTGCGCCTTTGTTCCTCCGGCTGCCGCGCCGGCAGCGCCCCGGCCGCCCGGCCGCCGGCCCCCGCGGGGCCATCCCCCTCCTCCTCCTCCTCCTCCTCCTCTTCCTCCTCCTCCTCCTGCGCCTCCCCGGCGGCGCGGGGCCGGGGGGGTGCGGGCACGGCCCCGCGGTCCCGCAGCCCCCGCAGGACGAGCAGCGCGGCCGCGGCGGCCGCCAGCACCAGCGCCGGCCAGAGCAGCGCCAGCAGCCGGGCCGGCAGCTCCCCCGCGCCCAGCGCCAGCCGCGCCGCCGGGCCCAGCATGGCCGCGCCGGCCCCGCCGGGGACGCTCCGCTCGCTCCGCTCCCGAAGTTGGCGCCGGAGCCGCGCTCGCCGCCGCCGCTCCGAGCGGCTCCGGGGCGGTGCGGAGCGGCGCGGGCGGGGGACCGGCCGGCCGGGGCGGGGATGCGGGGGGGCCCGGGGGGCGCGGACACGTCGGTGCTTACGGGAGCCTCGTGGCGAAGGGCGGGTGCGCCGAGCGGGGGGGCGGGAGTGGGACCCCGGGCGCGGCCGATCGCTGGTGCGAGGGGAGGAAGGGGTTAATGCGCGGATTGGGTCTCCCCCATGGAAGGACGAGAGTGGTACGCGATGAAAGGTGAAGGCGTTGTGGTTCCAAGCAGTAGCGGTGGTTTGAGAGCAGATGTTCGCCGAGGATTGGGATATGCAGGGATGCTCACAAGTGATGCTTTTCTGCAGAATTCCCCAGTCTAGACAGAGCAGTGTTTAGGGATGTACTTCTGTTGTCAGGCAGCGCTACAAGCATGTCGTTATCGAGCACCATGGCTGTGATGATGACAAGCGCTGCCATGTAACAGCGCGGGATGCGCTCTCATCTCGGGCTCATCCTCCGACAAACAGCATTTTACCGCCGCCCGCTGAGCGCGGAGCAGAGCGCCGCGAACCACAGACCTCTTTGCCGTGCTGGATGGAAAATTTCTTCAGCCACCTGATGAACAAGTGCAGATGATGCTCTCAGAAAGTCTTTTTTCAAAGTCACCGAGTTTCTTTTTAAGTGGAAAGCTGAGTTTTTGCCTTGCTCAATCTAGGGGGACAACCTCTGAGCAATTAATAAACGTTGACTAGCAGTGAAGGGAAGGAGTGCGCTCCTCATTCTCTCAGCATGGTTGTGTCTTGCACCTGGCATAAACACCGTGGGACTTACCAGGGGCCATAAGAAAAAAAAAAAAAAAAAACCCAAACAACAACAACACCAACACCAAAACAACAACACACAAACAAACAAACAACCAACCAAAAACCCAAAAAAAAACACCAAAAAAGCTTATTTAAATAAAACAGCATAAAAAGTCATGTTTGTAGTAAATCCAGTACAGGAAAAGGCTGGTAAGGGAATGACTTTTATCTGTCATTGTTTATTTCACACCCCGCGGGGACTGCTCTCTCTTGAGTGTGGATCCAAGTGCTGGAGCTCAAACTCAAACCCACTGAAAATACACCAATGGGGAAGGCTCATTATCCATCCTTCCATTGCTTCCATTGGATTATCAACTCTTCAGGGAATAAAGATTTATTATTCCCATGTTCTGGGCCGAATTACAATTAATCCTAAACAAGTCTAGGTTTTGAAAGCACAGTAAGGTGTTTATAGCACTCGAGAAATTTCCAGATGAAATACAGGAGAATTGTGAATAAAATGATATGCTGAATGGCCTTATGGGGAGAAGAAGGTTTTGGGAAGGAGGAAGAAATGCTTAATATACAGGAGGGTGCTGTGGGGGTATGGTGGTGCTTCAAATACTGTTGTTTGATAGGAAGCTTCTGCTTAAACATGGATCCCACAAGTTACCATTTTCTGTCTGTATCTCGTACTGCCTATCTTCTAAAATTCAGCACTGAATAATCTCGTGGTTTAACACCTCAGGAATTTGAGTGTTTCTCTTCCTAGGCCTGATACTGATGTCTTGTGAGAATATGCCTATCTTGCACCCATCTGGAGCCCTGAGCTGATAACTGAGAAGTCATGTGCAAATGTCAGAGAGAGGGGACTTCCTCCATAGTTAAAAATTGCAGTAATGTGGTTAGTTTAGATACTTGTATCTTATTTTTCTCCTTATCTTGATTTTTATTTTTTACCATTTTTTATTTCTCTGTTTGTAAAATGAAGATATATCTCTCCAGGTCTGCAATGTTAAAGTGCATACAATCGGTATCTCAGCTCATACATAAATTCACTATTTTCAGCTCATCTAAATTAGTTTGTTTTTCTTTTCCTGGGGAAACATAAGCTGAAAGACATTTCAGGAGTCAGCATTGCTTAATTGAGTATGAGATTACTGCTTTGCGCCATTCCTTTCTATTTCTTTTTTTTTTTTTTTTTCTTCAATAGAGGCAATTATTGTGGCTGGCCTCTAATGGCATTTATTTAAAAAGATAAGCATCATCATATTAGACCTTTTTTTTTTTTCTAGTATTATTACTGGCTCATTGGCAGCATATCTCTTACACTATTTCTCTATGAAAATAGCACAAGTTATTTTCATGTCATGTAATATGGAAAGACTGAAATTTTATTGCAAACGTGAGGAGATATTTTTCCATTTATGTGTGACGTGAGTTAATTGCAAATGTCAGATGGGGAATTGTTCTCCTTTCATACCTGGACAGAAAGTCCAATAACTAGGAGCTGGATCCACCTATCTGTCATAGATCAAAATGTGGTGGATTTCCACTGACAAAATAGTGCAGACTCTAATGCCTGATGGGTCCTGGTCAAACCTATCTGCTTCTGTGCTGAGTTTGTCATTCAGGGTGCTGAAATTATGAAGGTAGGCTTTGAGAAGTTTTCTGAAGAAAAATCAAGCCTTATTAATGTTTAAATATTTCATGAAAGCTGTTTGATTTTGACAAAATCATACAGCAACTGAAAAAAGAGGAAAAAACCTTGGTTTGGGCATTTTTCTTGGTAAAGACAATGCAGAGTTTTCTAGCTGAAATGAAAGCATTATTTTTATTTCAATTTTCTGTTGACTCATTAAAAATGAAATTTACTAAAAAGGAAGAAATTAAATGATTTTTAATAACATTTCACAGAAATTATAAGGTTCTGACCTGATGTATTAACAGTAGACTTAAGGATTCTCCCAGAAAACCCAAGAGAAATGCCCTACCCTGACACTACTCATGTTTAATCAACAGCAACAGACATGATAGAAAAATTAGTGATGTCAAACAAGTCAGAGATACAGATAGGAAGCTTTTAAACTGCCCCAGCAAAACCATCTTTTGAGGCCACATCAAAACCACCTTTTGAGGGCCAGTGAGGAGACCTCTTTAATCAGACTCCCTAACCTTAAGGAGTTCAGCAAGCTGCATCTGGAAGAAGGCAGGTGAGTTTTGTTGGTAAGCAGCTGCTCAGAAATCCCTGCACCACGGCAGAGCATGAGCTGTGCCTTCCCTTGGAGAAGCACCTTGGAGGTGCTAACCAGGCTGTTCAGAACAGACCCTTCTTGTAGGATCACAAGGCTTTGCTTTCCACTCTCTGAGCTCTGGGATTTGGGGAAACTGGGTGGAAAACAGTGGGGGTTTGCACCCATTTAAGTGACATGGAGCAGTCCCTGTGTTTCTGAGCCCACAGCTGGGAGAGGTTTCAGGGGAGCACTGTGCAGGTGTGGGCAGGGGGATGTTTGGACGTGGCTGAGATCAAAGCACAGGTCTCTGCTTCAGGCATTGGTGGGCAATGAAATGCTGAGTGAGGATGTGTCCCCCAGCAGGGGGATGTGTCCCCCCTGCTGCTGCAGGCCCTGCTGTGGGCTGGGACCCTCCTGCTCTGCTGTAATGAAGCTCATTTACAAGCTGAGATGATCTCACAACCTGCTTGTTTACAGGCTTGAAGGGACATTTGCACCAAGTCCTGAGGTCCATCTGCTGATGTTCAGGACATGTATTCATCACATATTTGTGTAATTTGCAAACGTCTCCCATTTTTCCTCCCGTCTGAAGCCCTGGTGCAGCAGAGACTTTCCATGGACATGCCTAAAGCTGCTGAAGTACTGAGCTTGCTTAGCCTGTCGATGAGGAAACTGAGGAAGGTGGTGGCTGCACGCCTGGCAGCAGCGTGACAATGACCAGTAATGAGAGAGGAGTGCTCCCTCTGTTCAGACTATTCAGCTCTTTTGCACAGCTGCCCCCGTGGCCAGGTATTTGCCATTAAATAAGATGATTCATTCCTTGACAGGTTGGTATCTGGCTTAGCAGTCCGGCATTTCCTTTCAGCATCTGTGGCTGCTTTGAGGAATGCAGCTTTATAGAATTTTACTAATTATCTAATAGCTTTTCAATCTCTTGTTTCAGTACAGGGAACTGCTGTTAATTAATTGCAGATCTTCAGCATACCATTCTTAACTGATTCCCCTAGTAAATATGTTTAACACTTGCCTTGGTTTCCTGTACATGATTCATTCAGTTGGTAAGTGATCCATCTTTGTTTGCTGTCAAAGTCTTTAAGTTGGAAGAAGACTTTAATCATGTTACTTGGCTTTCCTGAATAGAGAGAAGAAACGGAGTCAAAAAAGCACGCAATGGTAACGCAGTCAAAGAAAGACCACGGCCTGGGTTTCTTTCACCAATAAAAAAGTTGTGTAAGCTTCAATTTCCCTTTCATTTTCATAAAGAACATACTGGAAACATCTATTCAGCCAAAGACATGAAACTAAAACAAAGAAACAAAAAACATCTTGAAAGGAGGAAAGAAGGCACTTTCCCAGCTTATGCATTAATTAAGACCAGTCAAAGAAAACGGCTTCAAAGGAAGGAGGAAGCCAGTGGTAAGCAGGGCTGCAACTGCTTTTAATGGGCTATAGCAATGACATGCATGGCAGGCAGAGCCAGAGCAGGCATCAATGCAGCAGTGGCAGTTCAAAGGCGACAGAGAAAAAGTTGGAGGCAGAACTGAAGTTCCTGAATAGTAAAATTGTTTCACTAGCAGATTTGTCAGCCACACTGCGGGACAAAGGAGCTTGTTTAGCAGAACACATCATCTTGAGAACCGTAAACACTGCTGGTTTAAAGATAAAATCAAAGGCCTTGGGAGCAAAGCAGAAGTAGACATAAAAGTATGCATAACTGGCTTTCCTGGAGGTGAAGAGGTTTGCATCCCTGTCAAACAATTCAGAAAGAAGCTGTTAAGTGCCCCAGGTCACTCTCAGCACCTATTCTTCCCCTGGGTGGAAGCCTGTGCAGAGCTGCATGAATATACAGCAGGATTGATAGGTTTTTTGCACATCTCAGTGGTGATCTGGGAGTCTGGCAGAAAAATTTATTCCCCTCCTAAAAAAAAAAAAAAAAAAAAAAAAAAAAAAAAAAAAGCTGACTGCAACTTACAACATACTATTATAAATATTTTATACAAGTAATAAATGTATTTGTTTAGCAGCAAAAGAGAGGGCTTTATTAGGTTCTTTCCATGCATATTTAATCTCAGTGCTTTTCAGCCTGTGTCCCTGATCCAGCTGTCTGGGAAACCAGCTGGTAATTTGCTGTTTCTTTTGACAAACACTTCAAGCTCATGCTTTGAAGACTTCCTAGGTCCCTTAATCAGCAACCAGCAGCACGTGTGCAATTTTACAGGAACATGATGTCTACAGAGAAGTCTCCAAATTAAGATGTCTCTCCTTGCTTTAATCCAAACTGGCACACGACGCAGTGAGCATGGAGTAAATGAGTGATGACACACAGTTTATTGCTATCAAAACCAGCAT